TTTAAGGACCTAAGTAAGCCACATATTCATACAAGATGGAGCTACACCTAGAAGCTATTATATTTCAAAATTATCAAGTGCTATTTATGTCGTACAAATTTTTAAATATTGGGGAACCCTGAGATATTTTATTCTTGTTTTTCTCAGACTAGCACATATTTTAGTCTTTAATTGATTAAAAACTATATAATTTCGATCATCATGAAGTAATTAAAATCTAATTTGAAAAAAAAAAATTAAAACTTAAACAATTGTAATATAAAAAACGAATTATAATACAATACTTATAAAAAAATTAAAAACAAGTAGCTAAAAATAAAAGATTATAATGACAAAAAAATAATAAAAAAAAAGTAATTAAAAATATTTGTTATTAATTATTACTTATAAGATATATAAAAAAATTGTTACTAATATATATTAAATCCTAAATTTTAATTATAATTTAAGCAATAAAATAATAATTACTGACAATATTTTAAAAAATAAATTGTAATAATAAAAATAAATTATAAAATAAAAAAATCATTATTGACAATATTTAAATAAAAAATAATAAAAAGAATAATTATTTGAAATAATTAATAAAACTAAAATAAAAAAATCAATTCTTTATATTAAGTTCTATTAAAGAATATTTAAATATATATGAATAATTTATAAACTTAAAATATTTAAATCTCAACTAAACATATGTATTAAAAAACTTTTTAAATTTAAATAAATTTGAAAAACTAAAAAAAAAATATTAAAAAATAGTTGTATAAATATACTCAAATATGTATATATATTTATATTAATATATACATATAAAAATAAAAAAATAAAACAAATTATAAAAAGATACTAAAATTATTTTAATTAATAAAAAAAAAACATAAATAACGTTAGTCTCTTCTTTTATTTTAATAAAGAAATTAAAGAATTGTATGTAAAAAAACAAACATAAATATCTGGAAATAAAATTATATATTAAAATTTATAAACAATTAAACAATAATAAATAAAAAATAAAAAACATATTAAAAAATATATACATTAAAACAAAACGAAAACATATATTCAAATATATATAAATACAATATGTTAAAATAAATTTAGGTTAAGTTAAGAAAGGTGCATAATCAAAAATTTAGATTAAAGTATAAAATATATATTTAAAATGGTTGAATAAGTATATTAAAAACTAAAAATAAATTAAAATAGCTTGTTAAAAAGTAATTTATAAGTAAAAAGTTGTTAAAATTTATACACATAATTTAAGATAATAAAACTTCATTCATGTAGCATAGAAATAAACATAAATATTAATTTTAATTTGAATTTTCATTTTAATTTGCCTATTAGATTAATAATAAAAAACAAAACTAAATTAATATGTTAAATGATTTAAATGTTAAGCATTTGAATATTAAATTAAAAAATGTTAAATAAAATATGTATAACACATAAAATAATTAAATAAATACTGTATATATTGGAATTTTAAAAATTAATAAAATTAACATTTTAAAATAAACAAAAATCGCTTTAAATATTTAATGAAGTTTAAAAAAAAAATAAATATTAATTTATTTTTTTCAGGAATTTCAATTTTAAAATTCTTAATTTACACTTCATTTATTTATTTTATTTTAATAAATATTTTAATTCGAATATATTTTATAAATTCTTAATTTTTTTTAATGCATTTTAATTATTTTTTAAAGATATTACAGTTTACAGTAATATATATTGATTTTATTTGCATGTGATAGAGTTATATATTTGTAATATTCACCCAATTTTTTTAACTCTTTTTTTTCGACTTCAAACAACAATTTTCTAAAAGAATTAAATATATATAAAATATACAATCACTCTTGAGTGCTGTTGATATAAAAATTAGGTTAGTATGATGTGACAGTCATTGTAAATGAGCAACTCACTTTTACTCTACGGTTCATTATGAGGCTATTGGCTACTAATAGGGAATTGCAGAAGAGATATTTCTCTGCACTTTTTTTCCAAAACTTATACAATATTCAGAAGACAGAACTCCAAATCTAAAAGCATAGCATAGGCCAATGATCGATTGTACAAAGTCACGACCATAGATATGTCCTTACTTGGTAGGTTGAGAAAATCCTCTGCTTATAAATGTATAAACAATAAATAATATTTTTTTTAGTTATTTAATTATAACGAAAATATTTTATATTAGTAATTTTAGTTTCTAAGTAAAGTGAAGCACTGCGACCAGGTGTTTCAACTAAACATAACCAAATAGTGGACATTCAGTCTTTCTAGAGATAGCATGATAGCTGTTGAGAAATTACTCCTCCTTTTATAATTCAAAGCCTTTCAATCACAAAAAATATGAATGAAAATCGCATTCTCTACATCCTCATAACAAGAAATGAGGAGCCTCATCCCGGATCCTCTTCATCGCATAACAAGAGATAAAGTAACTATCCCCAGTGGGTTATAAGATAGAAAACAAATAAGACTCAGAAGACTATTGCAGAACATCATCAAGGTGTAGCGGTGTAAAGTGTTGGCAAAAGAACTTGATCAGAGCGATAATTAGCGGTGATGTTAATAGTTGCTGTCACTATTATCTCATAAAATAATTTTAGATATATTTATCACTACTCTACATTATTGAAGTTCAAAGCATAGACCCTGGTATAATAATTACTATTGATATCTGGTGACTACATAAATGAAACTTACAATAAACCCTTAACCACCTCTTCCACGATGAATGCAATTCACTATATTCACTATATATGATATTAATTTTAACATATAATTTATTATTAGTTTAAAAACTTTTGATAAAAAGTTTTTATATATTTATATTCATATATACTCCCCCTCATTATCATTATAATAATTATAGCAATTACAACTCCGATTAAACCAGTGCTTCCTTTGTAGCTTGCGCTTCATATAACACGTCTTTCTTATTTTTTCTACTATTCTTATCTATTACAATATAATTTCTTAAGGTAACAGATTTTTTACTATTAGTATGTCCTATTAGTATATCGGTTAAATAAATCTAAGTTCAACATGCTTTAGGTGTTATTAGAAGAACTCCGTAATCAGTAAGAAAATCTGAAACAATTACGTGTTTGTCTTTGTTCAAATATTTTTAATCACGTAAGGCTAAACCTCTGAATTCTTAGAAATACTCCTTAGAGATACTATTTAGAGATACTCCTTAGAGATACTCCTTAATGACTTGGTTGACTTGAAGTATTCAAGTTGTGATTGGGTTCGCTTGTTGCGCTATCGTCTTATCAGTTGTGATGATATAATAAATTCAATATTTTAATTTAAAACCTCTTAAACAAAATATTTTTACATTTATTAATAACATATGTGTATGTCTATTTATTTACAACAATTATTTTTAGTTTTATTTTATTGATAAAATTTAAAATTACAAAACTTAACACGTCATTTTAAAATACTTGTTTTTATTGATTATTTTCATATATCTTAATTTATAAGATTTATAAAATAAATATTTTTATACTTTAAATAACATCTATTTAAATAAAAAATTAACTTAAAAGCATAATTTTATAATTTATTATTTATTGTGGTTTCTAATAAAACTATAACATTAATAGTATTATTTTTATTTATCTTAAACCGAATATTATAAGCAAATCACATGTTAAATTATAAAACGGTATTTTATTCGTGTGGCAATAATTATAAATGTTAATAATTAAATAAAAATTTCAAATAATTAAAAAATAATTAAAAATAAAATCATAAAAAAATGGTTGTAAAATTATTGTGAAACAGTAAAATAAATATTATTGTACAATAAATACAAAATATACGTATATTAAATCAAATAAAAATTAATATATTTAAAATAAACAACTTGCATATAAAGATCTTGTTTTTATTTTAATATCAACTCTAAGGTTTTAATTATTAACCTTAATTAAATTCATTTATTTTATACATTTGTACATTTCATTGATGGATGTGTTCTCAATTTTCTTTACGTTTACATACAATTTTCATCTCTTAAATCCCGAAGAGATTAGCGCTAATATGTCCACTATATAAAAAATGTTTCAAATATGGGGAATATAAGCTTATATTATATTATATATAGGCTACAATATTGGTTTAGTAGAGTGCTAATCAGAATTAGCTTGATTCAAAGGGAAGGTATCTTGTCATATATATGAAATAGTGTTATCTAGTTGTCATTTATAATCCTAAGTAAATTCTAGCACCTTTGCTAGTTGGTTCTATATTTTAATTGCAATTATTCGCATCTTAAGTGCTTATCTTCTTATAGCAAACAAGTACTTCGAGAAAAAGAAAGTCTATACTCCCCACAGTTAGTTAGGCATTTATCAAAGCTATTTCAATAGTATACATTCCATCAGAGATAGTTCACGTAAGTAGATCATTTATTAATTTACTAAACAGTAGTTCCAAGATAACTTTATTTTAGGTTGTTGGTCATGCATATAACATATAGCAGAAGTTATTGATAGTTATTGAGTGCGTGAGACTCAATAACTCTTCGAAGAATCTTCCATTGTTTTACTACCAATCAGGATACTCTTGATACTTGCAGTCTCAAAAAAAATTGTAACGAATAATTAAATATAGGAAATAATTCCAAGACTTCTGATGTCGGGTATTTGGTAATACTCGAAACAGCTGTGTGGTCAGACAAAAATTCAGTTAATTAAAAATAAATATAAAATTTTTTTTTTTCGTTGGCCCCTCTACTACTATAATTACTCCTACAAACTATAATGCAACATTTTAATCAATCCAAGTCAATTTCAAAAGATCATCATAATTATATATACAATTTTTTAAGTCACACTTACACTTCACATAAAATGTGAATTTAAGCAATTTAAAATTAAACAAATTTATTTTTGGTACAAACAAAACAAATTGCTTATCGCCTTACACTTTATTTTGTATATATTAAAATATTTCCAACAGCAAATAAAGTGACAATTAACTAACCTAAGGATAATAAGTTGGTTTGAACTTCTTTTTACTTTTTGGACCTTCTGGACGACAAGCACGTGGTATGTATTCTTTTTGATGTTGATCCATTGTACGCTTCCATGGATTTACACCAACTTCAAAGTAGCGTCTTTTAGGATCAATGGGTCGAGTATTATGATCAATTTTATATATTTTTTCCCATAAATAAATTTCTGGCACAGCCAAATGACGCGGTCGATTCGATGTCATATGCTTGAACGTTTTTTCCAGAAATTCACGTTTATCCACATTCTTGTGATCAGCAACATGTTTAACTTCAGTATCCAAATAAGGTTGTAGCTCTGCACTGTTTCGCTGTATTGTAGGTACGTTAATATAAAATTGCACTAAGCGTTGCAAAACTTGATCATTAAAACCAATACACTTCCCAGCGTCATTAAATTCTTGATAAAGTTGATACTCCTTAGTGCCGCGACAAAAGTTAACTCGCGGATTATCATCAATGTGTCGAGAATGTACTAATAATGTATTCAATTGATATTCATAGAAGGACCAATCTTTTCCATTTGTTACAATTGTTTGCGTATTCATGGGATAGGTTAGTTCACTGAATGTATTAAAGCCATTATAATTAGCTTGTGCTAGTAGCCAAGCATAACTCGTTTGAATACCATGTGCATGCAATGCTTCCTTGAAATCCACTTCGCCGAAAGATGCCGGTCTTATGTTCATAACCGCACGTGACTGATAAGATATACAACCAAAACCATTACGAGCACCAGGCCAAAATCCTGAATGAAATATTTTATTTAATTATTGATTATTTTAAACTTTATGAAATATTTTAAAATTTTTACAAACCTGGCACATTTGTACCATGTTGATAGGCAGGCACAAAACCTAAGGTGCGTGGATCATAATTAAAACGTGGTATTGTTTTAGCTAATTCCATATTTTCAGAATCAATATCACTTTTAAATGTAGGCAATTGATATTTATGTCTTAGCGCCAGATATGGTGTACCATTGTACTGAATGGGACGATCAACGGAATCATTTGCCATTTCCTTTTGCCAAGAGTGACCTTTTTTACTTTTAACTACATTCTTTGGAGGATCTATGCCACCAACAAACCAAAAGGCTTCGTGTCTTGGATTATAATCGACATCAACTTCATTTAAATAAGATATATCTGCTGCAAGCGTATTTATAAGTACTCTATTAATTTGTTCTACGATGAGCTGCGTAAAAGTACGTTCCATCACCTGTGGATCTATGTCAGAAGTATTAGGATATTTATGCCTACAAAAATATAAACATATTAAGGTAAACTAGAGCTAAGTACATATTATGAAATTTTTTACTTGTAATACTCATGGGCAAATTCTAGCGCATCTTGAACATCACTCTTAGCAGCTTCTACAAATATATTGATTTTCTGCAGTGCTTCCGGTGCAATATTTTCGTCGGCATTTTCAAAAATAGTTCTCGTATAATGTTGTATAGCGGGTAAGCAATTATATGGAAGTTTTTCATCAGTTAATTTAAAAACCTTATAGCCATAGTAACGAGGCATATTTATTTTAATTAACTTTTCTTCCACAGTTGGTACCTCTTCAATCTCTTTATACCAATCTTCTTTTTCTCTAACTTTACGTGCTTTAAACGAAACATCTTGTATTTCTGGATATTGTGGTTCATCGGTATATTCGGAATTGTTATTGGTCTGTGCAGCTGGCTGCACCTTCGTAGCAAGGCATCTATTATTTGATGCATTTATGCATGCACGCAATTTATTGCTTTGGCGTAAAATCAGCATTTCTTCTTGAAAACTAATTACAATTTCATTTAAGTTTTATTAATTTTAATATTTCAAAAAAAACTGCACATATAATCAGTCCGAATGCATGAAAAAACAAGAGGTTAAGGTAACAGCTGATTTTCAAACGTCAAATGCCGACTGGCGCAAGTGTTGTAAAACAAAATAAATTTACGAAAAATATATTAATGTACATTACAGCTTCTCAAACTGTGCAGAGTGAAAATGTAAAATTGTTACACCATAACAACAAAAATATCTTATAATAATAATGTAAAAATCAATTAAATTTTGTTTATTGACACAAACGTATGAAAAATAACTGTTTAAATATTTATTATTTTGCGACAAAGTCTGAATTTCAATACTTTACTTAGCTCGAACTAAATTTAAACAATCTTGTAAATTTAAATTTTTTTTATATTTAGTTTACAGTCAGTAAATAAATTAAAATAAATTAAAAGGCTTTAACGAGTTTTCGTGACTACCCTTAATACTATTGATATTTTTATAATTTTCTTTATTTTGTTTTGATAATAAAATTTAGTATAAAAAATAAAAATGTTTTTGCCAGCGCCTTTCTATATATAATTTCTTTGATTTCTTTTTTAATTCCTAAAATTATTTATTTTTGTTTATACAGTGACATCCATAATTATAGCCATTTTTATTATTATTGTGAATATAATAGAAAATATGTTTTTTGGTAATGTTTTTGCAGTAGTGAAATATAAACAACTAAATAAATAAATGTTTCTGAAAACCACTCAGACAGCTGTAGGATCAGACCAAGAATTAACTTGATTACAAATCAAATTTTTTGATTTGAACATTTTCACTATTAACCGCTTTTCCTTGTGAAATAAATTGCTTCTTATTGGAAAAAATGTTTATTATAATTAATAAGTAATTTGTTAATTATTTTTAATGATAACGACATTTACAAAATTATGTGCGGTAGTATGTTTATTAAATATTCAAGCAGATAATTAACAAATAAAATTTTAAAAATTATTATTTATAAAGACTAAAAGATTTATAATATTTTAACCTGCATATGTTGAACATATTTTAATTCAACATAGTTAACATTGAAATTTTTAAATTTATAAAAAAATTATTGTCACAAATTCATTGGCAGCATTAAAAAAAAGTTTGTTTTCTTCTCTTTGTCGGATAGGTGCGAAAGGAGACATCAGTCATAATTCGCACTAAGCCGAGTACAGTGAAAGTAATATGATCAGCAATTGATTTAGGACGGGAAATTGCATTTTGTTGATTTTTATTTGTTATAAATTGCTTTGAACTGCAAATAATATAAAGGAATATTTTTTCCTTTTATGTTGTGAATGAGAAAAATATATACATGAAATAAGCGCTGTTTAGTTTATACAGTAATTTGAACATTGAAAATTAAATATAGAATATAGAAAATCGGCTAAATTAAAAGAAAATAATTTGCGAAATCACACATTCAAAAATAATACAGGCGAATTAAAAGTAAGTTAAATTATATATCAATTTTAATTTAGTTATAAAAAATTTGCACTTGTCATGTTATTTTACTGGAATGAACACCGTTAGAGGTGCCGCAAGATTCCATGTAAGAAGCAATTCAAAAATGTTGTTATTGCCGCCGTTTTTGTTCATGTTTTGTTTTTTTTTTCCTACACTTTTTAATTACTTTCTTATAAGACAACTATTGGTCTCCCTTTCTCTATCCAAATGAAAGAAGTTTGAAATTGTAGTGGGCAAAGAGAACCGATCAGACGCGATTGTATTGTCGTGGAGGATGCGTAAATTTAGTTTTGTGTGAATTTTTTTTTTTTTGTTTGGATGGTGTAATTAATAGAATTTAGTATTTAAAAATGAAAAAAATATTTAGTGGTGCAAGCAAGTTTGGATTATTAAAATATTATTTAAAAATATGAGTGTTTCTATCAAAAGAAGTTAAATGCAGTTATTTTGTGGAAATGTATTTTGTTTTTGTGTGTGTGTGGCGTAAAATAAACGTTTGATATATTAAATTATTTTTATTGTGCAATTTCACTAAAAAGTCTTCATATAAAAATGAACAGAACAAAATAGTTTATAATATTTAAATGTGTTTTATTAAAATAAAATATATTAAATATAAACAGGTTTGTAATATTAACAACATAATATAGTTTTATTTTTTTTTTTGTAATTGTGAAATATAAATTTTAAATAACCGTAAAATATCGAAAAGATGGCGGCTTTGTTGCGCCATGAAGTGAAAATGGTTGCGCAGTGTTGCCAAGTTTCATGTGCCAACAACAACTTCAGAATATGTCACTTAACATTTTGTATTTTGTTGAAAATACATTATGTCACATCTGTGTGTGGGAGAGATGGCTTTTTGTTTTATTTAAATTTGTAACGGAATATATTATTAAAACCTTTTGTTAATTGATCTTCAAATATTTTTTTATTATTTTTAAACAATAACTCAACGTATTGTTTTAATTTAATGTGAAACAAAACTCATTATATCGTAGTATAAATATAAAAATCATATTATATAAGGATATGGAGTCTTATATTCTTATTACACTCAAAATAAACTATATAAATAAATTAGTTTAATGTATTAAATTAAAAAATATAAACATTGAAGAAACAATTTGAATTATATATGCTATGCATGTACATATCTGTATATGTGTACACACGTACTCAAGTTGTAAATTTAAAAAATTTTACAATCAAATGCTCCTTTACCAATAAATTTAATTTTTTCCTTCAAATTTAAGTTTTTTTTGTTTTTGAGTTATATGTTAAAATTATATTTCGATTGTACTAATCCTGGCTACGACGTACAATTTGTTTTATTCTGGTATTGTGTGTGAACGCCTTCGAAATTATTGTATTATATCCTGTTATTTATTACATACCATGAGAATTAGCTAAGGTAAGAATATATATTTTAGAACGAAATGTTTATTGAAAAAATAAAGAATAATATATTTATTTGGATTTAATTGCAGTCCTTCAATTTGCTTTCATGTGTCTTTTGATTTATATTAAATTTTCTTAAATTAAATTAAATTTGATATAGCTCTAAGTCAAATCTTTAAAAAATTTGGTTATATATCGTATTATAGAACAGTGGGGACTTCCCGCCACTCCTAATGGACTGCCACTTCTTTTGCTATTCCTTTACACATTTGGTATTATTATTTGCATTTTTAATTGGCTTTAGTCATCTTACGCAATGACGTAGTTGAGATCAAGTTTCTACAATCAGTGCGGTATGAATAATACCTCCCGTTAGCGCCTTATAATTCCACATAAACATAGACACAATTGTTAAGTTGTTTCTCACACGATTATTACAATCCTACATTTACAATAAACACTAACGAAACACAATAAATAACACTTATAGCTATCTCAAAATCTATGATCTATTATTTCAAAAAGAAGAAATCCACGATTATCTCCACTATAAAAAAAGGACTTCATCAGATCCAAAATGAGCAATCTATTTTGAAAAAATACGGTTTTTATTGAAAATATGTATTCAATTATTTATATTATTAACACTGACATAAATAGACGCCCTCACTCTACTCAACAAGCAGTATCACGAAATTTTTAAAAACAATAAGTGTTTAAAATTAAAATATTCAGTTGCAAAAGTGTGGATTCATTTTGTTTCACAATACTATGACGTTATAACTAACAGCTTATGTTTATAAGTTTATATACATTAGAAAAAAAAACTTTAGTAATATATATATCTATAAGACTAATATCATTATGTTTGTTTATACTGGTTCTAGTTTCTTAAATATCGACTTTAGAATTCAGACTGATTAGCATCCACCTAAACTGTGATTCCTTTCTATCCCACGCAATTTCACTCTTTACCTACTACAATTCAATTATACAAGTCCCCTCGGGTTATAAAAAAGACAAAAGAACCTTTAGTTATCGAAAATCCATTGTCATGGGTTAACATAGTTCCGAATAATTTAAAAAAAAAACACCTCTGTCCATTAAGGGTATTATTCTAACACTTATATATACAATAATCAAATTTTATTTTTTTGTATATTTATTTTTTTACTTTATATCTATTTCATTTTATTTCTTTATATTTAATTTACACGTATATATTGTAATTCTTTATATATATATTTTTTTTTTTTTGAATTTCATCAGATATGATTTATTGTATTACCATTTAAAGTCAGTATATATTATCATATATTAATTCCTTTATATATAATTTGCAGATATGCAATAATTCCCATATAAAGCGGCGCAAAGTTGTTAAGTGAAAATTTCGTTCCTTGCCGCATTCCCCAATTTAAGTAAAAGAGTACAAGTGAACTACAACTCAAAATAGGCTTCAATTAAACTAAACTAGCGCATTAAGAAATTGAAAATAAATTCTTAAAAAAAATAAAATAAACAACTGAAGCCTAAGAAGAAAGAAATTAACTAACTGGAATGCAAAAATAACTAGAAAACATTAATAAAAAATTAAATAACGTGTTTAGTTGGTGACTCCAAACCATGTATTATGTTCGTAATATTTTTTAACACCCAAGAAGAAGGTATTTTGAACAACATCTATTAAATACTTTTATCAGTGAGAAACTATATAGTGTGTTTATAATAAATAACCCAATCAAATTTTAAGAACTGAATTAAAGAAATATCAACTGAAGAATGTTAGCAAGCGATATTAAGATGGTTAGTATAGCTTCAAATATTGTTAACAGTCAGCAACAGTTGTATGCAGCGCAACAACTAACTTTGACTAACATAAAAGTAACGCAAGTTAAAATCGAGTCCCCAACTGAAAAAAGTTCGGATGATGCGATCAATAACAAAGCTCACTCACAGCCAGTGAGTCAGAAAAGTCAAACTAGCATTAGTATTAAGAACAAGAAATCACATCACAGCTACAACCGTAAAAAGTATCATACATACCAATCGCAACATTTCAGTAACACTACAGTAAACAGGACAAATATGCCTAATAACAATAATAATAACATCAGAGTGAATAAAAATCAAGGTGTCTCGGAAAAATTGAATGGGAAAAACCAAGACAGCAAGAGTGGAAAAAAATATCCACATCCGTACAACACTGAGAATAACGCAGTTGTACCTAAAAACAGAACTCTTAATGTTCCGTCGCAATCAGCAAATGTGACAACTGTTGTGAAGTCTAAATCTAGTCCAAAACTAGACACACAAACACAGTTGAGTACAAATACTACTCCACTATGTATTGAAAATAGGTTAAATCCACAGCAACAACCGACTGGAGTAGGAACAGTAGTTGCAGAGAAAGATAAAATGCAGCAACAAGATCAACAGGATTCAAATGCTAAACCAAAGCCCAACAAAAAGAAATACTGGAGAAATAGTAATACCCATAGTATCGTTAGTGCAAGTATTAACACAAATGGGGAAATACCTGCGAAATCAACAGTGGTTAACCCTATTAGCAGCAACAATAACAATTGTAATAACAGCGATAAGGTAAATATAAAAAACAAAAATATTTAAAATAACTAAACAACCTTCTTATAGAGTCAGCTACCTATCAAAGTTGAAGTTTCAAATAAAGCTTCCCTTCCAACAATTTCACAAAACAATGAAATAGACAACAAGAATGTTGGGACAATAGCAACGGTACCCTCCAATAACAATATAATTACTACTGTCGAGAAAAAAGTAGAAACGCGTTTAACAAATGACACAAAAGATGCAATTATTGTAACTACCACGCCTTCAATAACAACTGAACCTGCCAAACCGAATACAGATAAAGCAGTGTTACAGGTGCCGGATATATACGCTGATACAGTTAGAAAACCAACTCCAACTGCTGCAACTCCAACTGCAGAAAACTCAGTAACCAAAACAGCAAGTACGTGTAGTTTAGATTCATCTATAGATTCATCCAATACATATTCGTTAGCTTTCCTTCATTCAGTTGGTGCTGATATCACTGGCAGCAAACAGAATAAAGTAGAAATAGTTAATGATGCTATCAAATTCGTTGTAGAACCACCTACACGCCAAGCCATTATCACTGATACTAATAATAACACTACCTACAAGCCAAATCGGTATCAACAATCTCAAAACTCTGCTAACGATGGTCAACAGTACCAACAATACCCATATTATCACCACCAGCCGTCGCAATTAACGATTGCTTCATTTTTGCAAAAGGATATGTTGGTTGAGACCACCACCACTACCGAAAATAATAAAAAAAGTTATAGCCAACAGAGCTACACCCAACATCATCGTTATCAAAATTTTCCACATTCAAATTATTCGGCACAGCCGCATCATCACCAATATCCCGCACACAAAAATAATAATGGTAAACATAATCCAATGCATTATTCGAATGAGAACAAAATGGATAACTACATAATGCGATATCCACCAAAGTACCACAACCATAACGTGCATACAACTATCCTGCAACCACATTCCAAACGTACAACCAATACTGGTTCCATTTCATCAAGTTCATCAGCGACATCTAGTACAACGAAAGTCATTTCATATCGACGCCAGTCGCATTATAAGTTCAGATCTCATACTAATTCTGCCATTGAGACATTATCAACAAAGACATTTCGTCACCAACAACGTCATCATTATAACAATCAAAATCATTATAATAATCATTATAATAATTACCAACATAATTCTGGGGGTACAACACCAACACCGAATACACAGCACCAGAATTTTAATAATTTGACATATGTGAGCACGGATGGATACATAGCAAACAATATGTCTAACGTAATGAAATCGCATTCCAGAAGCCCACTGAAGTCAGCAAGCAACATGTATATAAATTCCCCCAACTCCATGTCATCTAAATTTTTAAATTGTGCACAATTGGATGCAGCAACAACCAATACTGCTGGTGTTAGCATTAGACCTAATTTATCCGTCGAACAAAAACGGTCTAATCGCAATATCAATAACAATTGCGAGTCTAATGATTTCCAGCCGTTGAATTATTCAATGCCATCACCCAAGTCTAACTCCACATCTGCGTCGTTAAATTCTCTACACAATCAAGATTCAATGCAGAGGAGTACACATTCTATGAAAATGCAGACCCAGTGTCGTAAGGAAAGTGATAAAATGTGTGTTGTGCATCCGAGCTATTACCATCATCACCACCATCAGCAACACGTAGATAGACGTCAACATGTAACTAACGTACATCATCAATACTACACGAATTCTGTTATGCCGATGCTAAACTATCACGCTGGTTATTATGATGAGTCATACTCGCCGGCACACGTTATTTACGCCTCGAGTGATCATAGCATAAATATAACCAATAGAAACTGGAGTTCTTCAGCTGGTAACATGATGTATCCACCAACTGTTCCAAATGTAGTCCCGCCAACTGTATCAACTGGGTCAATAACAACACCTCTACCTTCTCCACGTTCACAAGAGGCAGACAATAAATTGGATCGTAGTTCATCTTTATCGTCCATTTCCACAACAAGTGATACATTGACATTAGATTCTACAAAAATGAGGTACGTGTAATTATATATATAATATATATTTGAGATAAGAGAGGTACCTAATATTTTAATAATATTTCGGTAGTTCTACATCGACTCAAGACCAACAGCAAGAGTTGTCGGAAAAGCAACAATTACCACATGCTAACGTGCAGCAAGAACGTCCAAATTCTTCACGAAAATCCATTAAAACCTTTTCTACTGATATTCGTATTATATCGACAACTCAGATTTTGACGTCAATACAACACATTCCTTCCCAAGCACGGCCCAAGCCTACAATAATGAGCTTAGTGAACAACGAGCATGAAATGGTTTATGCACCATCTGATCGTTATATGGCACGCGCCCATCTAGTAGAAGTTAAACAGGAACCGGAATGCTTGCTAAAAAATTCTAAATATGATTTGTTGTCACGTCAAATATGGGCTAAATTTGCTGAATGCCAACAGACTCGAGAAACATTTGTGGAAAAAATGCGTTTATGGCGCTATATCTATATCTTAATCAAACTTAAGATGAAAGTGGGTGCAAATTCGAATTCCATTATTTACATCCATAAACTTCTATATTTATATAATTTTTTTAGACTACCTATCCTCGCTATGGATTGTATTTAGTTGGCTCTACCATATCAGGTTTTGGTTCAGATATTTCAGATGTTGATATGTGTCTGGTAGCACGAGCTCCAGCAAATCAAGATACACGCGTAGATGCTCTGGTAAATTTACAGCTACTGAAAAAGTGCCTAGAAGAAGAGGAGGGTAAAGAACAACCATCATCTTAACTTAATCACATATATAATATATATTTTTAATTGACTTTTTTAGATGAATTTGAAAAATTTAACTTAATTGAGGCCAAAGTACCTATCTTGCGTTTCAAGCAAAAGCAAAACGATTATGAAGTGGACCTCAATTTCAATAATTCTGTTGGTATAAAAAATACGCATCTACTCTACAGTTATTCACTAAGTAAGTGAAGGTGTATGAATAATAAGTGTATATATATGATAATAATAATATATCATCTCAGTTGATTGGCGTGTGCGACCTCTGGTGTTGGTGACAAAGTTGTGGGCTCAATATCATAATATAAACAATGCTAAAAATATGACAATCTCTAGTTATTCTCTGGCACTTATGGTGATAAATTACTTGCAATGTGGGGTGAAACCTATCATCTTACCATGCTTGCATGACTTATACCCAGAGAAATTTACCTTCGTAAGTATATTTACTTAATATTTCATCAAATTAAAAAAAAAAATATTCCTATAAAAGTTGCGCATTCATGATTTTGGAAACGTGGACATGAATGAGGACATAGGTTGCTCGTTCCAATCAGAAAATACACAAACGATTGGAGAATTATTTCTTGGATTTTTAGACTACTACTATAAATTTGAGTAAGTTTTTATACTTCTTTTATACACCAATTTTCTCATATATAGAAGCATTCATACATGTTTGGACAACTATCGGTTAAGTCATTATGAAGTAATTTTATATATATGTAGTATATATATGTTATAGTTTATATATATACACATATATGTGTTGGAGTTGTAGCGGGGGTACCATCTTAATATGTGGAACAACTACCCGGCTGGAACTCTTGACACACCCGAATGTACTGGCGATGCACTGAGGACATAGGTTTATAATCACTAAGGTGGATATGGACCCATGAGAGTCACGGAGCTACAATCTGCCAAAATTGGGTGACTGGAGGTCTGGATGCCAAATCATAGATAAAAACGTTTAAACCAATAAGTTTATTTAGTTTCCGTTTCGCTTTATCGAGCTGTCAAAAATATCGGTTTTCAGTTTATATAATCATTATATCATTATCATTATATCATATATAATCATTATAATCAAAATTTTTTTCAAAGTTTTATTGTTTTACTCTTGTTTACGTCTAGGTATGGGAAATATGCAATATCTGTAAGAACCGCTGGATTGTTACCGGTTGAAGTATGTCGCCAAGCCAAATCATCAAAGAATGACATGCACCAGTGGAAAGTTCTGTGTATTGAAGGTAATTCAAGATTTCCTCTATTTGTAATATAATAATTCTAAAGCGTTCACGCATAGTAGAAAACTGCAATGTTTTAAGTTTATATTATATGTTTTATATTATATACATTATAGCATATGTATATATTATATCATACAGATATATATTATATCATATATAATATAATACATATAATAAAGACGAGTTTTGAAGATACTTCGAGTTAATAAAGAGTAACAGTGCTAAAGTACACTGGCTCAAATAGCTTCAACATAGAGATTAGAGATATTATATTATATCATATATTATATTATGGCCGTGTGGGAGTTCGAGTAAATTGAGGTAAAGTAAATTAAAATTTTATAGTTATTTTTTACACTGCACTTATGTAAATAATTATTTATTTATTTACTTATTTATTATTATTTTGGTTAAAAGTTTTCAAATTTATTTATTTATTTATTAAACATCTTATAAAATTTTTAAAATGGTAACACCTAATGTACCTAATTTTTATCTAATTTACCCTATTCGAAGTTCTGATTAATACCAACATTCGCTGCCACATCGACATAATTTACCATCAATTTACTCAAACTCGCACACGGCCTATGTATCATATACATTATATTATATACATTAATATTATTTAAAAACCGACTTCATTCCAAAAATATGGAGAAATTCACATCTCGTAAATTTCTGTGCTGGTTCCTTAGTTTTATAAACGAAAAAATTAATGTTGAACCACAATAGCTTTCAAACGTAGTTCATTCTTTTACAAATCGGACATCTTTTTGAACTCATTTACCTCCGATTTGGGAGTCTATGCATGGTGTCCCAATTCCATATTATTTTTTTTTCATATCTTTTATCTAACACAGTTATAAATTATAGAAAACTGATTGTTTAAACTAATGTGGTAATAACATTGATATGTATAATATTATTTAAGTACTGTTTTCTATTTTTCTATTTTCTATAGGTAAATTCTAATAACATCTAATTTCTCTTATCAAAAACAATAATTATTTTTATTATATCGTTTAGAACCATTCGATCTAACAAATACTGCACGTTCTGTATATGATTTTGAGACGTTTGAGCATATAAAATCAATTATGTTCAATTCGTGGAGAACATTGAGTCACTCCTTAAATTTAAATTCTATTTTTGGACCTTTGTTTGTTACATCACCGTCCGATTCAGAAATGAATTTAGCAATTGGTTCTGGTGGTACCAGCAAAACAAATTCATTGATACCTGCGATATGTGAAAAAGAGCCAAATGAATCGACCACGTCAAATTCGTCTCACAGTTCGGAAGAGGTATCAAGTGATTCAAGTGAAACAAGTGAATCAACATTATCGATGCTGAAAGAGATTATAAATGAAGTTGCAGATTCTTCACTTAACACAGCAGAAATGTTACTTCAGGAAAAAAAGCATCGGGCTGAAAAAAGTAACGATATATATAGTAATGGTTCATCGGAAAATAGCAGTTGTAGTGGCGCCATCAGTATGCCCCAAAATAATCGTAACAGCTGCAAAACGGAACCACCGAACCTTACTACAATTATATTCTAAGAACATAATACACTCAGAAAAATCTGCATTAAAAAAACGGCGTGCTGTACGAACATCATGTATGTAAGTCGCAACATTGTTTTAAATAGTATCATTGTCGGCAGTCGCTGTAATTATGTAGATTTATTAAATTAATGTAGTCTGTGATATTTTTGGTGCCTATTTATATATATATATATACATATATAGCATATATATTTAAATTTGTATTGTATATATATAAAAGTATGTATATGTATATATATATATATATATTAAAAAATTGAAATCTAGTTAAGTAGTTAAATGTACAAATAGATCTAAGCAATTCACAAAAAAAAACTAGAAGATTAATTAGAATTAATAAGTAGATTGATAAAATAATCAAATTATGTAAATATCGTATCATATTTTTTTACAGTGTGTATGTACGTCGATCTATATGCATATGATTTTTATCTTTATGGCATCGTTTGGTTTTGTAGGGTCTCTTGACTTGGCAGTTCAGTGACAATTGTTAAAGAATGAATGACATTTTATATGTATAGTTTAAAAAGATTATTATTATTAATTGAATTTTGCCTCTTAATGGGTGTTAATGCTAGGATTCACATAATTTCGTGTGCCAAGCAATAGGGAATTTATGATCTCTTGAAGTGTAGTCCATGTTCTACACCTGTTATATTATTTTGATCCTCTTAAAGACATATTTCTACATAGTATCTATTAACAGTTCGGAGAGTTCAAGCATATGTCCATTGAGTGTTTGAAAGTTTTGGATATAAAGCAGTGACTGATAGTATTATCGGCACAACAACTCACTCAAGTCTTCAAATTTCTTTGATTTCCCGAGCAAGTTGTATGTAGTTGTTCATCTTTTCTGCATACTTCTGCTCAATATCAATCAGGTAACATAACCATTCCTTCTTTCAACCATTAGTAGGCTTACTATGTATTATTCATCGATCTGTGTAAACTTATTGATCCCAATACATACAAAAATGGGTGTTTTCTAATACCGCATTTGGCATGTACTGTTAAATCGGGCAAGTTTCAGAGATTAACATATAATTAAATGCAAGATTTTGCTGGATTACCTCAGATACAGCATTGTACCTGTTTAGGTACTTCCTTGATATCATTACAGAATAGCTGTAGATAATTCATCCGATCCAGTGTTTCTGGGACAACCATATTTTCAACACAAGTCATCATCTTTTTCGAGTGAGGACCACTTGTAATATTATAATTATTATTACTATTATTATTATTGTCGTTATTATTGTTATTGTTTTTATTATTGTTATTATTATTGTTATCATTATTATTGTTATTATTGGTATTATAGTTATTATTATTATTATTATTTTTATTTAATTCTCCTTAATGGGTTTTTGGTAAGTTTTGATGGCCTAAGCCAGTACAAAATATAACACATCATCTATATATTTATTTTAACTATTTTAACTAGTATTTGAGAGGTATTTCAAATTAATTAATATTTAAAAATTTGCGAGTAATATGACAGGAATCAATTATAACACTTTTCTGTATGTCATGAATAGTTCGCTGGTTTAATTCAAGTCTTCGAATATGCGACAATAAACTTTTTGGCGTTACACCTTCAGCACTAATTATAATTGAAAGAATTTCAATTTTGTTAAGGTTCCAATTACGTTTTGTTTCCACAGCTAATTCTGCATATCGATAATAAGTTCGATACATCAAAATAAGTTCGATCCATGTTTTTGGTCATTGGTATTGCAATATCAATGAAGAGTCCTTCTCGACGTCTTTTATCAACAATAGTTATATCTGGTCTATTGTGCAACCTCGTGTAATCGGAATAAATAGTACGATCGTAATAAATTTTTACGTCTGGATTATCATATACTGCTTGTGGTGTATACTTATAGTATGGAATATTTTCTCTATCAATAAGTCTATATTTATTGCATATGTGCTTATGTAAAATATTAACCACGTTATTGTGTCTCTTTGTGTATTCTCTTTGTGCTAAACATGTACATCCTGCCAGTATGTGATCTACAGTTTCCGTTTGTTCTCCACATTGCCGACATTTATCACTAATTAGCGAAGGGTCATTATGACATTATAGATTTGCAGTAATTTTTTGTCGGAATTACTTGGTCCTGTATTGCAATCATGAATGCCTCAGTTTCAGCAAATAGTGTTCCACATGTAAGCCATTTGTGCGACATAATTTTATCGACATTGTCGGCGTTAATGGATCTATAATATCTTCCATATAGCGGTTTGATTGCCCAAGCTTGCTCTTTATACTGCCGATCTTGTGCTTTTCTATCAAAAGTTCCTTCCAAATTTAATGGTGTGTAATGCTTGTCTGTTTCGGTTAAAATTTTAAAAAAGATATCATTTTCTGCATTCTTTAGAAAATATTCTCTCATTGATATAATTTGATTATCATGTAGTTCTTGCAGATCAATAAGGCCTCTACCTCCTTCCTTTCTAGGCATAGTCATTCGCTCACAACATCACTTTGGATGGTGGAATTTGTATTCTGTGAGCATAGTTCGTATTTTTCGCTGCATCGCTTGTATCTCAGTCGTTGTCCATTGTATTATTCCGAAACAATAAATCAGAATGGGAATAGTAAAAGTATTGATGGCTTTTATCAAACAATTACCCTGCAGATTCGTCTTGGCTGTCTTATGAATACGTCCTTTAAATTCACTATATACTTTATCTTTTACAGCTTTGTGTGCTATTCTTCTGCTTTGAGATACACCAAGATATTTGTACAGTTCGTCTTCTTCCATGACTTTAATAATCGATTCGTTTTGCTCAAAATTTTCGAATTTAACGATTTTTCCACGAACAATGCTGATTTTTCTGCATTTTTCAATGCCAAACTTCATTTTAATGTCATTACTGAAGTTCTCGACTATTTTAATAAGCTTATCTAATGTTTCTCGCGTCGAAGCATATATCTTTAAATCATCCATATACATGAGATGATTTATTTTACATTCTCGAGAATTGCCTTTAATTTTGAAGCCATACTTTGTGTTCCTTAAGAGATTACTTAGCGGATTGAGCGCCATACAAAACCACAAGGCTGACAGGCAGTCACCCTAAAAAATTCCTTGTTGAATACTTATTTCATCTGTTCGTATGACTCCATTTTGAGCGAACATTTCTATGTTTGTTCGCCATCTCGCCATGTTGTGTTCAAGAAAATTAACAATATTTGAATGAATACCGTACATATTCAGGACTTCAATCAGCCAACTATGCGGGACACTATCGAAAGCTTTCATGTAATCAATAAAACACATGAGCAGGTTTCTATTTTTCTTAGCTGCTTGTTCCAATATTATTTGGTCAATTATTAGTTGTTCTTTACATTCTTTTACATCCATCCATACTATTATTTATTCTTTCTAGGTCTCCTCTTAAATGATCACTTTTAATTTGTATTCTTCGTAGCGTATTACTCTTATTTCCATAAATTGCAGCTCTTCGTGTTCCTTCTCTGGGTTGTCCTATCTTGCATCCCATTGTAGTAGCAATTGTTATAGCTGATACATATACAATAGTATGTAATTCTTGCGAAGTACTCAAATTGCTCAATTTTGTCAGGATCGCATCATTGTTAAGTGTTTCAATAAGAAAACTTGGCTTTTTACTATTATTAATTTTCGGAATGCGTGGCCTTAAAAGAGGGTTAAGGTTACTGTAAATGTCAAATTGTTGTTCAAAAATCTTATTTAAGCTATGCTGATTACTTCTAAGTCTAATTTGTTCATTACTTACTTCTTCCTGCTGATCCGTGGTTTCATCGACATCAATTAAATTTACATTTGAAGCAAAAGGTGGTTGTTCATTTTCCACTTCTATCGTATTTACATTTTTACGTGTTCCAGGTACATGTATGCTGGTAGAAGTATTAGTTGATTCAAATTGCACTTGCTCATTTTCTGCACTTTCTGTCGATTGATCATTACTAACTACTGTTACCGATTCTTTGATAGCGTTTCGTCTTGATTCTGATATAAGATTGTTTCTATGAATAACCCGTACTTGATCCGCTAGTCGCTGTTCCGATACATTAAAGTCTGGATGGTGTCCAACAAATATTGTATATAGTGTAGTTCGATATGCTGTCATATCTCTTTCATTGTTTGTAGCTATAAAGTAGGCGCGTAATAAATCTTCATTTATAGTATTAGTCCATTTTCTGCGCTGTCGTGGTCTGCTAGCCACGGTGAGAGGTATATCGGGATGTATATGCTATTCACCGGACTGCAAAGATGTTCTATTTCTGTTGTTCTGTGGCATACTTGTCGAACAGGACCCAGGTACCAAATCCTGCACGCGAGTGTTATGCGATCCCGACGCGGTGGGGTTATCCGATCTCCCTAGATTTACAGTATTTTGTGGATGCATTGTGTACTATTTGTTCAGACCTCGTAGTACACGAGGTGGTATTTTATACCTACTACCAGGTATATCGTCCAGCCGCTCCTAATATGGAGTCAGACACTGACCTAAAAGTCGCCCATTCTGAGTCAGTCGCTTCAGGTTTTTTATTTAGATCCCAGCCGCACTATTATTATTATTATTGTTATCATTATTATTACTTTCTTAAATTACTCATGTGCTTTTTGTTCATATTTTTCTTTTTTCATCCTCAATTTTTTGTTGACGTCAATTTAACGCCAAACTGGAACCAACTGCCTGGGTCTAAATACTATCCGACCTAAGTAATAAAAATTATATTTTATGTTTTAATATAGTCCCCTTTTATATCGATACACTCAGTCTAACATTTGGATACCTTTTCATTAATACGATTTATCAAGTCACCAAAAATATAGCTCAGCTTCCCATTCCACTTCAATCTCGTTCCCTGGAACCACCTTGGAGCCAAGTTTGGACACAGGTAATATTTACTGGGAGCCATATCAGGAGAATACGGTGGGTGAGGAATCTATTCGTACCGTAATTGATTTCATTTTGTCATGGTTTTTATTGACGTATGAGTAAATGTGGTCGTTTTTTCTTGATTTCCTTATCCAATCGATCCAATAATATACAATAGTAGTCTGATATTCTTTTCTCTTTTTCGAAATAGTCTATGAATATTATTCCACTTGAATCCCAAAATATTATTATTATTTCCTTGAGAAACCTTGGGAAAACAAAGGCGGTTTTCAAAATGGCGGTATTGTCTGTACGGAGTGCGTGTCCAATCCAACGCCACTTCCGGCTTTTAACCTCGAGTTCTATTGGTACATTTTCAGATATGGTGGGAAATTCGGTGTTTGAGATTAACCGTGCCCAGAAAATTTAAAGTATACAAAAGTACTTTTGAGGAAGCACCAAATGAAAACTTCTTGAAAAACTTCTATTTTATACTATCGGTATAATCTAATACAAACTATTGTTTTCAATAGAGGGATTTTTTATCGAACAACCTCTCAACAAATGACAACAAAATTGCAACAACAAAAAATTTTTTTAATATTTTTATTTACTTGAATTTTTGACTGATCATACCGCTGTGGCGAGTATTACTAAATACCCATTATCACTGATCTCAGAATTATTTCTTATTTATTTTATAAAGAGCTTTTCGAAAAGTAGTGAACTAGAGCTGTTTCGAGTATTGCCAAATACCCATCATCAGCGGTCTTGAAAATAAACCTTGTATTTAATTATTCATAAATAATTTTTTTTGAGACTGCAAGTACCAGAAATCGGTCTCGTGCCCTGCCAAATTTGAAGCTCAGAGTTAGCGCTCCTTAACCAATTGACCCAAAGCCGTACTTAACTGTTATGTTCGCACATTTTGCTGGAATTTTGTTAATTTGCTGTGTTTTAAAGGTTTTATTAACAAATTTACTTGCTGTGTTTATATTAGCACGAAATCATAAACCAGCTGTAGAATATTTGAATTTATTAATTATATTAATTTTTATTAAATTTGAATACTATTCTGTTTCTTTATGCAATATTTGTTGCATTTTATTATTATTATTTTTTTTTTTATTAATTAAAAATAATATTTATTTATTAAATGTGATCATTATTTATTATATGTATTTTCTTCTAATGTATATATATAATATTATAATATATTTATTTAATTTAATTTTAATTTAAATATTTATTTCACATTACCATATGTATGAAATATTATTTATTTATTTAATTTAATTTAATTAATTTAAATATTTATTTCACATTACCATATGTATGAATTATTCGATATGTAGAGAATGTGGGCTCTCACTGACTACTTAGGGCCATGTTACGCAGAATGTCTCGGGCACGGCACGAGTACAATTGTTATTGTTTTCAATGCAAATTTTAAATTTGAGAATGAGAGAAAAAACAATATGACCACAGTTGCCACTTAAGGTACTTTAGTACCAAAATTGGTACTTTTTTTTTCGTTTGGTACTCATGTTCAAAAAATGGTACATTTTTGACGACCCAACTTTATTGTGGATATTTCCAATTAATCTTTTTTATAAGTGCAACTTTGCACTATTTTATATTTTGTTCATTTATAACACTATGAAAAACACAGAACGAAAAAATAAAAAGGTCCAAAAAAATTTTGGACCTTTTTTTACAGAAATGGTACCTTTTTAAACCAATTTTGGTACAGGAAAAAATTTTCGAGTGGCAACCGTGAATATGACCGTTCAAACTCCGGCATGAGAGCCGCAGTATTTCAAAATTTGCGCCTTTTAGGAGCAAATTACTACAGCCTTCTTTACGATTTTAAAGAAAGGCGTAAGTACTGTTAAGTACTATTAACAATTATTATGAGATAATATAATAATAAGTTAACATTATTACAGCCTCTATGAGTTTTTTCTTGCTAGTTATTTTTGGTGGCAAACTCCCCCATTCAAGTGAAAGTGCACCAACTTAACAAATCTATAAAGTTTCTAATTTTACAAAACGACGGTTCTGTCAGGTCGGTAAGAATTGTATCCCAAAAATTTTTTACCTTCTGTTCATCAAAGATGGACCTTGATAAGGAAGGTGAGACATGAATTTCTCTTCCTCTTTAGGGCCACAATATGACAAAAATTATTAAAGGGCAGACTCAGTTTCATAGTATGTACAACTTGGCAAGTCTCAGGTCGGTAAAAAAATGTATCCGGAAAATTTTTAATTTTCTGTTGGCCAAAAATGGACCTTGACAACGAAGGTGAGACATGAATTTCTCCTCCACTTTTTAGGGTACTCCGTTTCATAGCATGTCTGCTTAGTATTTCAGCATTGATATCGTAGTGCTACTGAACAGGTTCCACTTTAGTTGAAGCAGCTGACTAGTACGTCATTGTCCAGTTAGAACCAGATCGATTTTTATTTCGAAATTTGGCAACCATTTTCATCTGTCAACCTGTTATCGTAATGCCTCAAATAAACACGTATAATAGACGTCTAAAGAAGAAATAAAATAATGTCGAATCAAATATATAGATCAGTCCAGCACACACACTGTAGGAAAGGATTGTTTGTCTGTTGTAACAAAAACAAAAAAAATAAAAAATATATATTAAAAAATAAGTCATTACACCCCCCTTCATTACAGAATTAATTTATCAATTAATTATGCTATGCAAAACTGAAGAACAACAGCAAAGAAATGAAAACTCATACAAGTTTTTTATCAAGATTTTTTTATTAAAAAATGAAGAGTGAAAATGTTCAAAAAAAAGTATAAAAATTAAAAGCTAAAAAAAAAAGTTTTTTTAAGGTAAAAATCAAAAGTCAAAAAAAAATATTTAAATGAACTTTAATTTATCTTCAGTTTATATTTAAAAAAAATTAAAGCAAAAAACGTAAAAAAAAATTATTTATTAATGTGTTAAGTTCTTGAAGATTCTTCAAGAATATTCTGTCAGAAATGAAGACAACATTAATATATATAAGAAAACTGGCCAAGCCTCTGTCGCTGATGGGCTTGAGATACTAAATAAATTGAAGATAAATTTAGTATAGATATTAATATGAGTTATTTATGTACTTTTTTAGAAAGTTTTTATTTGAAATTATAAAGTAAATTTTTGTTTTTTCTTTTTTGATATTTTTTTAAGTGTTTAATAAATCAAGTTTAATTGTAATGTTAGCAATGTTGATGAAGGGTTCGACTCTATCGTGCTATATGTCGTGCTAAGAAAGAAATTTTCACAATCCAAGAATTTTAACAACTTTGTTTTGCTGCACGACAGTCTGAGTCTGAGTCTGATGTCGAACGTCAACAGCATTGCTGGCAATTGTAAACAAGCAACAGATACTGTTGTATACGCCTTCTATGAAGGAAACTTCTTTGTAAATGCTAGGATGCAGCGCTTTAACTAAATTTATAATATGTAAAAAAATTTTATGCCATTAAAGTAAAAATCGTTTTAAGTAATTTAAAAAAAAACCATTGTTAAGGGATGTGCAGTTCTGAACAACGCCAACGCCAACGCCATCAGTCTATCTCAACATCATCTAAATTGAGAGTTCGATTTTAATTTGAGTATCATCAATCATCAATCATCAATATTTGTAACAAGTAAAGAGAGTACAATCAATCGAGTCGTAATTGATCGAAGCAATTAACGTTCCTTTAAAGGCGTTCAGCAATTGCTGAAGAGTTTACTTATGCCCAGATTAATTTTAATTTATCAAGCCGCCTTGACCTGACCTCTGACCGGTTGACAAAGAGAAGAAATTTATAATAGAAGTCGCGACTCATAGCTGCACATCCTTCTTTGATAGAATGAAATATGAATGTTATTCCTATATATTTTTGTAAAACGAAAGTAAGAAACAAAATGTAAAAAAAAACGCAAAATAATAAAATGTAAAAAAAAGTAAAATAAAAAATAAAAGCACAAAAAAAAGAACAGCCAACAATTGTGTAAGATTGGCCTGTCAGTTAAGAGCCTTATATACAAATATCACAAATAATTATAATTACAATGTTCAAACTTAGGTGGAAGTGCTCGAAAAATGCAACAGCTCGTTGTTAACAAAAATAACTAACATTCTAAATGTTATGTTAACCAAAGTTTAATAAAGAATTGCATTTCCCCAAATTTTGCATTATTAATGTTTTTTTTTTTTAACAAAGTTTGTGAACTCATATGATGGTAAGTACCTAAAAACTTTAATAAGGAAACTCCTTGATGATCTGATTCAATAAACAGATCATTTTCAAGCCATTTATCAACCACCCTAACATTAAACACAACTTTAACATATATATATATTAAATCCTTCAACTCCTAGGAGGAGCATTGGGTCGCAACAAATATCTTTCACTCGGCACGATTGGTGGTCTGTAACTATAACTCTCCCCAACTTTTCCGCATGTGTGACATTTCCATGTCAATTTGCCTTCTAACATATACTAAGAATAAACTAATACATCAAATAAATATTTCCTACAAGTAATTATTTGTCGTAATCGAATAAGTTATATCCCTCTCTCGGCCGGAGTTTTGAACCGAGGAAGGGATATAATGGAAAATATTGTTTTGGTTATTTGTTAATAATCGAATAAGTTACAAATACCCCCACCACGAAGTAACAGCATAACCGGGATTGTGCCAAGAGCTGGATATACTAGCAGATATTATTTTGGTAGTGATTATATGTAAATCATATCGTCATAGCAGAAAAGTCGATCCCCACCCCCCCGGTTATGCCACCGCCACTAATAGATTTCGAATGAGTGAATATTAAAACCTAAAGGTGAGTGTTTATCTTGTTATCTACAATAACAATCAGAAGCAGTTGTTATTCTGTATACCATTTTGTTTTTGTTATGTAGTAATTAGTGCTGCCGTTACGGTGAAGGCGAGCGCTATTGATTCCAACAGATAAGCAACTTGCTATAAAACGCGATTAACGCATTGTCAGTTAAGTATTAGGCTTTTTATGGGGTTATGTTATTCATCCACATTCACGTCATACGGCCATATTTATTGGAAAAATAGTTAAAAATTAAAATAATCGAATAGAATATAAAAACTCGATATACATATTTAAATTTAGTTATTTTTACCAAAATACTGTTTCAAAACAGTATCTGTATCTAGTGTTGACACTATATGAGAGGCGCTACGTGGAGTACCATCTAGACAACGTGGGACGTACTAGGTAATGTCTTGAATCCTTTTGTCTTCCGAATAATAACTGTTAGTTATTAGATACAGATACAGGCCTACATAATACTAGGAATAACAGTTACTAGTTTAACAGACTAGTGACAGTTGTTGTTGTAACCCGCTGAGACCTACTTCTGAAGTCCTTTTGGGAGGTATTGAACGACACTTGGTCGTCGCTGGCAACGAGTGGTTCCGAAACGAAGACCCGACCGTTTTGGGAACAAGTGAGCTTCTTTTTCGGCTATATCTCCGATATTATTTTGAATTTGAAAATGGTTTTTCGAAGAAATACTTATAAATGTTTAAGCATTAAAAAATTTGCACGTCAAATAAAAAAAAATTTGTTTTTCTAGTTCCAGAAATTCTCTTAAAGTAAAAGTTAGAGAAGACACCAATGAAAATTACTTTACTAATTATGAATACATATCACAAGATTT